TTGGTAGTACTTCAGTTTGTCATCCGGAATGTTAGCTTCCATAATTGTGAAAATGTCTACATCATAGGTTTGTAGGATTTTCTGTACTTGGATCTTTTTGTCCGGAGACATTCCTCCAGCATTCCACTGGAGGATCTGAAGACGTTGTGATTCGCCCTGACGAGGGCGATTTTTCTTATAGCCTTTTTCAAAGCTAATCATAATTAATCGAAGTCAAAAACGTATGCCGATTGATAGACTTTTTTGCCGTAAGAAAATACGTTGTCCAGGGTGCACCACGAGGAGGTAAGTCTATCGCGCACCCCACATAAGTATTAAAAGCACTTTAGTTATCGATTATTTAAAGCAATAGAATAGCATATTAATGTTTTAATACTTCGTGACATTGTCATCCTTATATATGTTTGTTAAAAGATGGCATGATCCTATTACGCTGACGCGTATGCAGAATGCAGCCCCAATCAGGTAGATTTTGTATCTGGCATGTTCATATTTAGAGAAGGCAAATAATTGTCTGACTGCTTAACCACGCTTGACCTTAATGGTCTTTACTTAAATTGGGATTTCAAACAATTACCCTTTCTGCTCATACTTTTTGGCCCATTTGTTATCACAATTCTGAGGTAACATCATTTCTTCTTCATTGATCTCTGACTCTACTTTTACCTTATAGTATACGTACGCTAAGGACGGAAGCGTTCGCGGTGTAATGGTTAGTCGAAAGGCCGCTCTAGCACATTGCCGAGCATTAACAGCAGCCTGTCACTATTCGGAGGGTGATGTGATGATTTGTGTTGTTGATTGCCGTCGAGAAGCTGGTCTCTGGCATGCTGCTCTCGCTGTGAGTCCCTTTGTTCTAATAATGCTTTTTTTTGGACCGTTTGGTCTATTTGCACTTTCTCCTTTTCGTCTTGTTACAGGGCGTGTTTAACGGTATGCATATTGTATTTGTGCCCTTCAATGTCCTCCAAATGGACCCGGGCTCTTGGATTCGTATGGTCACCAAATATCGCGGTACAATTTATTTCCCTTAAAACCAACGCTCTTTTCTCAATATTTCCCCACTCAAATTCCTCTTCCGTTGCAGCCTCTGTTGCCATTGTAAAGAGTCGTGATTTGCACTGGGCACTACTTGCAGAAAGAGATCATCCCTATGTCAACCTCTCTTCTCTCCGTGCTCTTCTTGTCACTGATGGTCACAATCCTTGTAAGTCATTATTCTTTAAAATGCTCTGATTTATGCATTTTTGTATTGTTTTCCTGTATGAGATTCCACTCCCATGCCTCTGTACATATTTTGTTCCAATTAAAACAAATTTCCGAGTTTCCTTTGGTCAGGATGACCTTATGTATGAAAGTCTAAGTTTTTTAAAATCGTCCAAGCTACGAGTCGTAAATTTCAGTGAAATTTTGAGTTCATGTGAAGATATCATGTAACTTTCCAGTTAACTTTTCTACCATAAATCACTTGTGTAAAACTGTTACTAAGGTCAGAAGACTCGAACCGCTTCAGGATCAGTTAGTTTTACTTCACTATTCTCAGATACAACTAAGATCATTTAACATACTAACCGACTATCTGATGTCAAAGCGTGACTGGGATAATGGGCTTAAGTCCCAGCCCAACAATTCCAATAACGCGCATATTTTTAACATGATATTTGCTAGAAGCAGGCTTAGAAACAAGTAGACCGTAATATGGACAGTAGATTTTGGAGCCTGGTTCAATACATTGGGTCCAGCAAATGGATCAGTCCTTAGATGGTGAGTCAACTGCATTTAGATGCGTTGTGATGAAAATATCGTTTCTAGTTTCGTCTATCCGCTCTCAGATGTTTAATACTAAAGATAAATCCAGGTAGCCTTACTAGAAGCAGACTAAAATTAGTCAGTTAATTAGCCTCGAATGCCGTCATTAAATCGTCCATATAGATTCAACATATGGATGTTACATAGTGAATTCTTCTTCGTTCTCCTGAAGTTAAATGAAGGAGAACTCTTGATATCATGGCTACATTTGATACGCATTTTTTGCCCCCCGTTTTTTACTATTTTTGCACTCATATTTTTACCTTTTCCCGGTTCTGATCCACGCTTAAATCTTTTATAAATTTCCCATACAGACAATAGTGCTTAATCTTTGTAAATCTTACGCTTGATATAGCCCATTAGCTCTTGGAGGGGGACTTTATCTTATTTTGCTTTTATTGAGCCCCCTAGTGTTACACCCGTAAATTATGTCTGGTTTCGTCAATACGCATTGCTGTGTATATTGTTGGCATTTCAAATAAACCATTTCCTACGCTAGGGTCTCTCAATTCCTGCGATCTCTTTGCGGCTAAGTTCAAGTCCCGTGGTTTCAATCCCAGTGCAATATGTCCCATTGCGGGCAGTTCAGAAACTCTAACACTCTCCCTTCGACGTCCCATTCCTCCAACTAGTGCCACTAGTGCAGGCAGTGGTACTGGTGGTCTATTCGGTCTCCATTCAAATGGCGCCCTAAACAGAGGTATGCTTATGCCCAACAACGCAAGCCCGCAACATACCCTCATTGGAGGAAATTCATGTGCTTCTCAGCCAGCATCTTCTGCTCGTGGCATAATTTCACTTCATGCCCTGAGCTATGGAGTTATTCGAGTAGACTCAGAGGATTCTTTCACTTCCCTTACTCTGCAAGATTGTGGTCAGGTTCTACCTGGAGGTTGGCTTATCATATATCATCTCTAACGTTTCTCGAATGTACACATTTTAACCGGCCTCATTTCTCTTCCTTTTCAGCTGCAATGGTTGTAGTGAGCTTGGGTCCGAAACCCACCGTTTGTAAAACAGATGAAATAGGAGAGTTGTGTATATCAGCAGACTACGTTGGAACTGGATACTGGGGTCTGCGAGGCCAGACTGGATCGCACTTCTGTCTTCAACCCACCCACGATGATGGACGACTTGTGGTGGTGAATTTGAATAGTTCGGCGGCGGCTGTGCCTCCAAGTTCTGGAGCTCTCCATGCACCCACTTCTAACGCGGCCATGACGACAACGTCGAAATTCGTTCGATCCGGTCTTATTGGATTTCCTGGACCTGCTTCCTCCGTACGTCTATGCAATGTTCATCTTCTTTACTGAAAGTGAACTTTGGTGTGTGTTGCTTGTGTCACATTTTGGTCGGATCTGAAGTTTTTTAGTTGCTTGATCATATATCTCTTTTCTTACCGTATATAAATATCGATGTTAGAGCTTTATTATGGTATCCTGTGATATGTGCGATTTTATAGTGATAATTTATAATTATATCGAATCTCTCTCCTTGAGCAGTGTTCTTATTGTTTCCATTAATTTAGAGATTTTATTTATTGATTGATTCATCAATAGATTGATAAAGCTTTACCGTGATCTAAAGCGTCATGTACTTGAGAATAAATTATTGTTTACTGTTTGGTATCCTTTCATGAACCTTTTCTGTGTCCAGCTATCTCCTTCCTTCTATGCATTGGTCACTAAGTTCTTATTGTGTGTAGCTTGATCAAACCACATCTTAAATATAATTTGTTTCGTATTTTGTGTCAAGTAATTTTTTGGTGATCCAATATGGTGGTGTGCGATAGACTTACCTCCACGTGGTGCATCCTGGGCAACGTATACTCATGCGGCAAAAAAGTCTATTAACCGGCATTTGACTTCTGACTTCAAAATACCATGGCCCAACTGCTTGTCATATTCGACCCCTTCCACAGTACTCATCTTACCTTTTTCCCTACCTTTATGTCTGTCTGCCTCTTTTACATCTGTGAATCGCCCTTCTATTCCCCACCCATCGACTTTCTGCTTCTTTGATGAACCTTCCCTCTGTGAAGCCCGAAGTCAGCTAAATGGCTAATGATAGCTATCATAACGCCTGCCATTTGAAATAAATAAAGACTCTCCATACTGACGTTAAATTTCTAAACACCTTTCCGCTCCCCGGCTAGAGCTTTCGTGTCAGTGAGCTAAGTCTTCACTGCCAATCTAGTCAGTATGCCTTCTATCTGTATCTCAGGTCCTTCAGAAAGGGAAATGGTTCTGATATAATTGCTAGTTTTAGGTCTGCTTTTTGAAATAAACTCTTCTACCAGCTTCATTTCCTATGAGCTACCACCAAAACACATGAATCAGTATTTTATTTTTAGAAAGCAAGTAGAACGTGTCTATTTCAAAGATAGTCGGATCATGAGAAATAAGGTTATCACCAATATCTCCCTTACATAGATGTCTCAGATGTTCCAACATCAGAAAGACCACAGATGTATTAGGCCCTAATAAGGGTAAAAGACTTTAGAAGTGAATGGAGGTTGTGGGACACGTTATCGCTTTGTGCGTCATCGTATTCCTGCATGCCAGGATTGGGAGGTGCGGCCGTACAACTCTGTGTGCAGTGACCAATCATTAACCTCTGTTTGTTTAAACTAATTCCCCATCCTGATCATGAGTAACTCCATGCATGCACACTTTATCCACAATATACATACTGAATAAACGTGCTCCGTGCTATACATCTGTTTCCTTTATAGCTGGGCTATGGCTTAGCTGGTTCTGGGAGTCTAGCTAGATGTAGGAGAATCTACCACAGAGATTTCTGAGTCAGTCTGGCTTTACTAGCGTAGCAGTCCGCTACAAGGTAGGCGTTAATGTACCGTAAATGGAAACGGGTTAGTGNGACTTACCTCCACGTGGTGCATCCTGGGCAACGTATACTCATGCGGCAAAAAAGTCTATTAACCGGCATTTGACTTCTGACTTCAAAATACCATGGCCCAACTGCTTGTCATATTCGACCCCTTCCACAGTACTCATCTTACCTTTTTCCCTACCTTTATGTCTGTCTGCCTCTTTTACATCTGTGAATCGCCCTTCTATTCCCCACCCATCGACTTTCTGCTTCTTTGATGAACCTTCCCTCTGTGAAGCCCGAAGTCAGCTAAATGGCTAATGATAGCTATCAAAACGCCTGTCATTTGAGATAAATAAATATGGTGGAAACCATCTACATAATCCTTTAGACCAAAAATCAACTTGGTTAGACCTGCAGATGAATTATCTTCTGTCTCCAAGAAATCTTGGCATCATTCAAAGCTGATTTTAAACAAACAGATGAAATTTCTAATGCGCATACATATCTTGGAGGATCTTCTATTTGGTGTACCATTAAAATAGTACAATTTTGTTATATCTGCTCCCTTTTCCTCATTGAGAAAGCTTAGGATGCAAGTAAGTAAGGGGATGTTCAATTCAAACTACAAATAGAATTTCTTAGGCAGCTACGTGCATCTATTTTTATCTCCTACTCACTTTCGCCTTTTAATTAGGCTATCAGTCTCTCCCTGGTCGGTGAAACCGGGGTTTTTCACTTTTCCAACGCGACTTTTCCTAAATTTATGGTCTCATTTCCTGATATCAATGAAAATTTTCTGCGGTTCTGCATTTGCTTCAATAGTTACTCCTAAGTTACTTTCCTCGTAGTCTTAATTTGCAAAATTTTAGCAATTTTATCGCTTTTTCTGAGTTTTAAGAGTGGTGTGCACGAAGAAAGTGATTCTGGCGTAATTTTAGTTGCCGATTTCTCCTAATTGTTCAGTTTTTGATGCATCCATATTGCGAAAGAGTTGCGTTGTTAGGTGAACATCATTTTATATTGAATTCCTTTTTCTCCTCTTCAGGGTGGTCTCATCTTCATTTGCGGTTCGATAGACGGCGTATTGTCGGTAGCGGGTAGGCGGCACAATGCCAATGACATTAACGCGACTGTGATCGCTGTTCAACCAACCAAGATTGTATACCGTGGCCGGTAAGAGCCCCTGCTTCTCTTTTTTCGCTTTCAATTAGTTAGTAAAAATTGCAAGTCTTTTGGAGACTTAATATAATTATTTAGGGTGGGGGGTGTGGAGGGGGGTATACGACCTTAAATCTGCATCTATTTGGCTATGCAGACTTGGTAATTCTTGCAAAGTAAGTACCAGCTCAGAGAGCAAACGATTTCCACACTTTTCTTCTTTTTGTATCGATTTTCAAAAGTGTTAGCAAAACAATTTTCAAGTGCTGAATCCATTCAACGTTANTTGATGCTCCTGTTAATGAGCATTTCAGTTTGGAGATTGTTATTTTCATTATCATTTAATCAGGTCATCGAATCAATCCAAATCAATTGATAAAACGCTGATTATTTTCCCACCAATTAGTAGGTGTTCACTATGGTAACTTTTAATCAACTTACTCTGATTGATTTTGTCATTAGGCTCATTTCTTCATTTGTGTTTTATTGAGCAATTATGTTCAAATAATACTTTGCAATTGTTTTAAATGGAAGTCATCTCGTCCAGTATTATCATGTTTCGGTGGCGCAGTGGTTAACTTGTCATGGGTTTCAGTGCCTATCGTTGGGCGCTCTGAATTTGTCCTGCCATTCGTTGCTTTTGACTCAAAATATTTCAATGTTGTCGTAAACACTATTGTCATTTGCACGCAGACACTAGTCATTAAAAAAATCAGTGATTGAATTTAATCTTTATTTTTTTTTCTTAGGAGTTGAAAGCCATTTTTAGCACATCTTCATTGATTATGCATGATTCAAGCTAGTATTCGTTACTTTTATCATAATTTTAGAATCGCTGTCTTCTCCATCGAAATGCTGAAAGATGAGAGGATTGTAGTGATTGCCGAATTACGTCACGGGTTCTCTGAGGAAGCAGCCTTTTCATGGATGTCCCAGGTCCTTCAAGCCGTTGACAGTATTCATCAAGTCAGCGTCTACGCTCTAGCTTTGGTCCCACAAAATCACCTACCTCGGGTGCGCATTTAAATGCATGCTATTTCTTCATTTCTTCTGACTGCTTGATTTTAATATTTCGCCCTTTGATAATTTGTCTCGTTACTCCAACGATTTCGTTCATTTGCAACATGTAAAGATTAATTATTTTTTTCCTAACGGACATCCTTTGTCTATGATCCTGTTTCCAATTTGCTAACTTTCTTTACTTTGGAAATGAATAATGATTTAGCGTATCGTTGTCTATTATTCTTAACGTTTTGTTCCATGAAACTTTCAATTCGTAAACCTGTTTATTCTGAATTTTGTTTTTGACTTCACCTCACAGCCACACTTCAACAAGTAGTTTCATTACCTATGAAAGGCGTCTCAATAATTTATTTAATAAAACAGCCCAGGAGAATTTGAAGGGGATATGTGATAGATCTAATATGTAGGTGTATCGCGATTTTCCGAATTTCAATGCTCTTTACTTGTCGTCCTCGAGCAGTTGACTAATGCGTTGCAGCGTAGCCTGTGATCAATTGTATTGATTCTGCAAACAGTTGAACAAGCAGATTTATAATATGCTGTGTTGAACTACTCATATCTGTTGCCTTCCTCAAAATGTTTTCTTGACTGCTGTAATGCTAGCAATGGTCATGTTTCTAATTCCATTGATTTGTATACAACATCCTTTTTGCTTTTTAGCTTTTTTCTCATTTGTTCAAATTGCATTCTGTACACTCGAAAGTTTCATTTTTTCTGCTTGGGTCGTGCATTTGTGCATAATTTTAAATTAGCTGTTTTCTTCCACTTATTTTCTCACGTATCTAACATTTGTCCATCTTTAAAAGGAATTTTATCCGCGATTTCTACGAATGTGGATATTTAAAACACAAGTCTATGAATTGGCATTATATTCAATCTTCTTACAAGTATATCTGGGCAGTCCAACTTCTGTGTGACTTCTAAGGTATTTGATTACTCATTTTACATCCCATGTTTTGGACGTGTACCATTTATATCTTGGTTACATTTATAGCGCGTAAGCAGCCTTGTGTTTACATTAACTCTGCGCTTATTAAATCATCCGTATTGATTGGAACTATTTCCATTTATGGTCTTATGTTGATTTCTGGAACTATATGACTTGTTGTAATGGGTAGTGAACATGATGGCCCTCAATTTCACTATCTCTGCTATTATAAGACAGGAATGTGATAACTGTAGAGGGACTACTTTATTTGACAAGAACAGCGGTGACTATGCAACTGAGCTCTCATTAAGCTGAAATTGTGGTTTCATGGAAGAGTAGAACCCAAAAATGGCGGGGATCGATAATTTGTTTGAAGTTAAGGAGATGATTTGCACGCAGATTTATGAGGATAGGACAACATACGTGGTAAAATGCCATAAGTGAACCCCAATAATACGCTATAAATAAAATCACCTCAGATTTATGACATTATGTATTCACTTGGTAAGTCAACTGCGCAGCCTTGTTTAGATTACATCTCAATTTACTAAATAAGTGATATTAAATGGAATTTTTGCTGGATCTTTCCATTTTTTCTATAGTTGCCCGTAATCGTGGTGTAGTAGAAAGGTTAACAAATCGCTCCAGACACCGTCTGGAAAATGACTAGATGCGCCAAGGAGCCAATCCCACCCCCGTGATTAATTCGCATTCCATGGCATGCACTGAATGCTGTCTTGTTCTTTTTTCCCGTTCTTATTAATGTTAGTGCAAATGTGCCTTTTAAATAACATTTCATGCTTCGTCTTGATTAAAAAGGGAGCAAATGCTTCCGGCTTTGACTTTCTGTGCTGCTCTTTTTAAATCGAGTCCACCTACCAATTTGCGTGTTTAAACAACTAATTTATTGTCCATTTTTGTGTTTATCTTGCCATGCCATCCTCTCCCAAAACCTGCCGTTCTAACGTCACCCCCCCCCCGTACATTTTGTCTGCGTTGTTTCAAGATCATTCTTTTTTGTGATTATTATTAGGTCCATTTCATTTTACTGTTTTTTTTTAAATTTTTATCTCCATTACGAGTGAGGTAGAGAGCGCTATCATTGTCACAATAAATGAACGTAATAAATTTTGAAATTTGATTATTCTGTACTTTATATTTGTTTATACCAAATGGCAGGCGTCTTGATGGCTATCATTAGC